GGGCCAAACGTCACTCCTGAACCGAATGAAAAAATCAATCAAGGGTCTGGCAGGCAATTGTTCCAGGCACACAAACCAAGCCACAAGACACCCTTCAAATCAGGAAAACACCCTGGCGCGGCGTGACGAAACAGCCTCCTGCCGTGCCTCTGCCCGGGCCAAACGTCACTCCTGAACCGAATGAAAAAATCAAGGGTCTGGCAGGCAATTGTTCCAGGCACACAAGCCAAGCCACAAGACACCCTTCGAATCAGGAAAGCACCCTGGCACGGCGTGACGAAACAGCCTCCTGCCGTCCCTCTGCCGCCAAACGCCACTCCTGAACGGAATAAAAAAATCAAGGTTCTGGCAGGAATTCCACTGTTGGGGCACAGAGCTCCATTGTTCCAGGCACAGAAATCTGTGCACCGAGCACCAAAGACACTTCGAGCTGGGATCTCGGCAGGCAATTCCACTGTTGCAGGGGCACAGAAACCTGTGCACCGAGCACCAAAAACACTTCGGGGTGGGATTTCTAGATAAAGAAGCAGTAGCACACCTTATGGCCACAATTGATACAACAGAACATACCATTTCGGGGCGCGCTCCCCCTTGCTGCACCACGGGGTCGGCGGATTAGGCACTTGGTGCTACAGTCACCTGCGCATTGGCTGTTCATCATTCAGTTTTCTGCAATGCCAGGTGCCCGTGGCCTGTGCGGTGAAGGCCGCCTCTCGCTTTCCAAAATCGGCTTGAAGGCTTGAAGACAAGTTCGGCTCAAGGTGCTGCAAGCTGTTGTGCGGCAGCTTGGTTTGAGGTTGCAGAAGGCAAGCGGCCGGCCATGACGCATTGCATGGCGCATTAATGCAATTAGACGGACATGATGGCAGGCGGAGGTTCCAACAGAGCTACTCTTGGAGCTGTTGGAGTTGGAGCAGACGGGCTTGGAGGAATCCAAGAACAGCTTGTTGAAGCCAGAATGGACTTCGTCGAGAGGTAGAGAATCTCACAGGCTGAGTGGCTCTTGTTTGGCCTCTCAGAGGGATGGAGAGGTGGAGAAACAGGTGGAATCCAAGAAGCACCAATAAAGATATGGGACCCGACGCCGTGTGAATCTCTTGTTTGTCTCTCTGTCCTCTCTCCCTCTCTAGCGTGACCTTCCCCTGCTCTGTGTGTTGAATGCAAGCTCATTCCATCTATGCCTGTTTGTGTTTGGGCTCTCCATCCTGACAGGAGGAAATCTCAAACGAGCTTACAAGGCGATGTTTGATGAAGAGCTCAGCTCTTTGATAATCCTTGCAGACATGTCCGATCTAGCAGGCGGATCCAGTCTTCTCTTGGCGATGGTCAACAACCTGTGTTGCCGATGGCAACTGTGCTCCTGACGACTTTGATTTCCGATCTTTGGATCCGGTTCTGGGCTTTCTGTGGCCTTAGTGAGAGCAGCCTGGTCATAGTGGTTCAGTGCATTTTATGGCATTTTCATCCACGAGTCATCAAGAGTCTGAACCTTTGGCATACTCAGTAGGGGAATGCTTGCCAGGCGGTGGCTTTGGCAAATGGTATGACGCCCGCTTGCTGCTCAGCCTGGCAACATGACCTGGACAATATATATATATATAATATATATATATTTATAGACACTGAGCACAGATTTAGGAGGACTTGCGGAGATGGATTGAGATTGAGACGCATGCTTGCATTTATGCCTGCATATGTGATGTCATGTCAGTGTAGGGATGTCAGTGTATTGTAGGGTTCTTCGCGCCCAGCAGGTCCCTTGTCCACGAGGATCACTTCTTTGGGGCGGAGTTGTTGTGCAGCCCTGAGTGAGGGGCTCCCCTGAGCCCTGCTACAGCCGAAAGTCGAACCTTACTCCTTCGTATTGTCTACACTGTAATCAATTCTAATCAGCATTAACTCTTTGGACCTCTTTGTTCCTAGTATCTTCGCTCCTAGTGGTGATGCCAGGAGCCCCTAGTAGCGTCCTTGCTCCTAGTAGCGATGCCCTTTGCTCCTAGTAGCTTCTTGTTCCTAGTATCTTCTTGCTCCTCAACAATCTGTGTGGCAATTCCGAAGCTTTGAGGAATCTATTGCTGCCCAGCTGACGTCAACACGTCAGGCTTGGTTTCGAAAACAGCTTCTTGCCATAAAAGCAGGTCATGGGAAGCGCGATGCCCAGGTGGATGCTTTCGGCGCTTGTGATCCGCGTAGGGGTGCCCAGCACTCCACCTCGGCCAGCAATAGAAGTCCGAAGCTTCGTAACCGTCTTAGCCACCGGAGCATCCCTTGATCCTTCAGCTGACTCAATGTTTTGTGCCTATTGCTTCTCATCGTTGAAGCACTGTTAGGCCCCGATTTGTGGGATGCTGCCTTTGCCCAAGCAAATGGTCGCATGAACAGATAGGGATGACTTTGTTAATTACTAGGTCGCCTCAGATATCGGAAGGTATTTGAGCTTCAGATGCTGCACAGTATATGCATTTTATGGGCAAAGCCCCCAAGCCCCTTGTTACATTTCTCAATGGCCAAGGTTGCTCAGCTCAAAGCAGGAAGCTGGCAAGGTCTCGAGTTGAAGCCACACCGCCTCATTTACGAAACAGAAATGTTCGGGATCGTGAAGCCTCATCACCTGAAAGGACCTAACCCAACTACAGTATACGACATTTAAGGTGCTTCATAGTCTCGTAGTTGTTGATATGAAAGCGGCAGTCCTTGATTAGCATATGTGCTAGCAAAGTCAAACCTGCCCAAGTGTTGGTGCGCTATGCAACTTTCAATTGTGAAGAGCCAGGTTTCGCCGTCCATTTTCCTGAGGCTGAAGTGCTGAGCATTTTGTGCGTTGGTGCCTTCAGTATGCTACCCATTGGAAGCCCTGGTGTGTGAATCCGCCCCACCATTCACATAATCATCATCAACACAACCAGCGGTGTTTTCATGTTACTGAGCACCTCCATGGCAAAGGTGTACATGAAATTACATACATGGGCAGCAGTCGGGAACGTTCCCTTCCTTGGAAGTCTGTTGGTTTAGGCAACTAGTGCGGCAACTAGAAGGGTTTTGGCTGACTTGAACGAGCCATGTCGATTGAACAAGATGCAATGCTGCAACGCTCCTTAGAGCAGGATACTTTGTGCAGATACATGATGTCACTTTGTACTGCTTGTTGAATCCTGGCCTACTACAGTACTATAGCAAATATATATTTTTTGCAAGAGAATTGCCAACCCACTAGCCTGGCGTATGTAGTGATTCACTAGTCTGGTATTTTGTGGCATCTTTGGACTCACAACACTCGAAGTTGCCAATGAAATAGACAACGCGCCTGTCAGCTTTGCCATGGGCTGATGAATCATGGGAATGTGAGGGCCCAGACGCTCACATGCACAGCTTTTGTCGCTTCATTTACTGTGGGCTCTTTGCATTGTTTGTGAACAGTAGCGTGATTGCGCAGTGTGTTTATGCACTGCCGGCCTGCACTAATGTGATTTTTTTGGGCGTGGCTGGTCAAGATTACAGGATGTCTTCATCCTGGTCCTGGCATGTGAAGAGCAACAAAGATCATTGATCATGCAACACGATATGTCTTACATTGCCGGACCTGAGATGCCGGCACCCAGTACCCCACAAATACAGCTGGGACGAACATCTTTTTCTCCCGACCTTGCCGTACTGCAGGGACGCAGATGTGGGACCTCGAAGGCTTTATGACGCTGAGAGACGCTGCGCAGCTGAAGAAAGACAACGGCACAGACACGGAACAAAACCAAAGCAGCATTGCCATGCTGTATCAGGTAGTGTGTGTGGAACCATGTTAGTTTTGTTTGGGATTGACGACAGCACACAACATTGAGCAAGGAGAGAAATGCAGCTGACACGCTTTACCCGACCAGATTACTTGGTGTAGGTGTTCACCAAGAGGCATTCCCAAGTGACCACCCTTCTGCCTTCTCCAACCCCCAGTGGTTTCCCGCCTCATGCCAAGCTACCTTTCGCATTCAACCCCTGAAGCGGACACCTAGGCTACTCCATTTGACTTGGGTTACGTATATATTGAATACTGTAGTTATTAGTCTGCCTGAAGCTTTCATAGTAACCGCCACCGCAAAGCTTGATGACTCAGGTATTCAATCTGCCCGCCTTTATGGCAACGTGGTGTCATATCAGTACTACTACATTGACATTTTAGCCTCACGGCTGCTCTTGCCAGCGAGACGGGGCCAGGGATTTGTCGGAGTGACTCAATCGCTTCACCCATGAGCTCCACACCAAACTCTCCAGGATGCAGTAGGAAATTTACTGCATTTGCAAACTGCATCCTTGTTCATTGTTGTGAGTCTACTAGACTGCACGATTGAGTCTGATGTTAGCAGGGCATTTGGGCAAGCATGACACCCACAAATCAAGAAGTGCAGTGTACCAAGCTGGAAAGAGAGTCTGAATGTCCAGATGCAAGGTGGGCACTCCACTGCCACAACGTGCTTCCGTCATCGCAGATACAGGACTGATGTCTGTTTGCAACGGAATTTCCTGTGCATTAGTTCCTGTCTATAAAACTTGAACACGGCTTAGTTGTGAAGAGAGAGAGAGGTTGTGTTTGTGTGCTGATGCTACTTCGTGGCAGATTGTGCAGGAAGCACCATTTGCGCGTTCACCTGCACGGGTTGCCAAAGTTGCGGCCATCATTTAGATGCAAACTTCGATTTTTCGCTCTCCACCAGTGCGCAGTGGATGCCTTGTGACAAGACGTGTTCCACCTGCAGGCCCCTGAAACAGAAGTGACCGGTGCAAGAGACAGAGAGTCCAGAGACTTCCTTCTTTTAAAGCCCGTGGCCCTGTCTTATTACTTATACAATTAAGTAGGTGCCTACTTGATTAAGTAAAAACTCAGAGCGACCACAGTTAGCTTCTAGTAACTGGACGCAGGATAGCTCACGCTTCTTCCAGGAAGCTACTTAGATTTTTAGGGAACATTTGGTTGATCCCCAGCAGCCTGCAGGCACAACAAGTGTGCTTATCGGCAGTCCTATACCGAAGGAAGCTCTATTGAGGGTGGCTGGCATGGATTGTGCGGAATATTTTTTGGTCAATCTTCTTGATGTCAATACCGTGCAGCTCTGGTGCGTGTCATATTCTTCATGCTGGTTCCCAGACACTTGCCTTGCAGCTGCCAAGGTATTCGCTTCACTGACTATGTCTCTTTGGGTGACGAGTTTCAGCAGAACCCTGCAGTGAAGGCGACTTAGCAGATTGGGTACGCAAGAGTCGGTAAGAAAGCAGGCAGGTCTTGGCATGACAAAATGCGCCTTAGGGGCAAAGCTTTGCATGGGCAGGTGCACATGGGTTGCCACACGCGGGAGACCCGACTTTTCGTTACTCAGAAGGCCAGGGGCATCGACAGCCACACTCTGTTGGTTGGTGAGGGCGGGCCGGGCGTGAGGGTGTACTCAAAAGCAAAGTGGTGCAAGGCCAATGGCATTATGGGTCTTGCGCCATCATCAAGCTCTCCAACCATCCTTCAGGAGATTTTCAAGGAGCTTTCCGGAGCAGAGCTTCTCAATATTAGTTGATTCAACTTATCTCTATATATATATGTATACCCATATGAATACCCACATAATGATGTATTAGTATATAACGACAAAAATTCAAATTTTTTCGTTGTTCCTTTTATTGTTGTCATTGTTCTGCTTATTTAACACAGTAAACATACATGTGCATATACAAAATAGAACATAATAGAACATATAGGATTACAGAGGCAACTGTGCGTTTGAGATGCAACTTGACAGGACCGTGCGCATGTGAATGCTGCCATTTTCTCCATGTGCCTTGCTCCAGAGGGAGGTCTGCTAACAGTGGGTGGCTACAATGCATCTCTCGCAGCACATGCTCCCCGGCTGAAACACAGCAAGAACAGTCCTGTTTTTTGCTTTTGTAGTAGGGCGTAGGAAGCTAACTTGTGCAAGATATTGGCAGTGCATAACGTTGGAACTCGGATGCAGAGCCCTTGCTGTCTTTGTGCAGCATGATCCAAGAAACAATTCCAGTTGCTTCCCAGAACAAATTGTGTGGTTTGTCTACCAACTTGGACTCAGGTGGACTGGATTCCTATGAGGCCTCAGCAATTTTATGGCAGCTTTTCAGAGGTTTTGGCGAGTTCTTTCAGTGCTCGCGCGCTTGAGTACCAGAGTGGGTAGCTGCTAGCATTGTGGCTAAGGCATCACTCTTTCGAAGCTAGCAGTGGAAGGTGGCATAGAGTTAGGCTCGGCTGGTTCTTGACGCGGCAGAAGAGCTTTCGAACTCAACGTTCAAACAGGCACAGGCTTTGGACGCACCTTCGTCGACTCTGGCACGATGCTTGCTTGAACTCGTTTTGCCTGCTTTAATCTGAAGATGTTCTGGGTGTTGCGGGTGCCCACCTTGTGACCCTTGTTCTTCAGTGGAGTGCCAAGGACCTACACGTACCTTCCAAATTCACTCTACCGGCAACTACGGGATTCAGAGCTTTGGCTGCGCTGGAGAGGGGTCGCATCTAAGATTCAGGGGTTCCCTTCTTGACCCACAGCCGTGTAGCGTGTAAATGTGCAGTAAACAGTGAAAGGGATGGTTGCAACGTTCACGTGCTGACTCAGACTGGATTTGATTTCCACATGTATATATACAGTAGTTGACGCCAATGCCAGCTGGGAGTTTGTTGCAACTGCCACGGCGACAAGGTCAAGGCTGTTTGCGAACAGAAATGTGGGCAACCTGCTGGCAATACCTGTTGGAAGGTATCAGGCAGGTGTGGCGGAAGCACATTGCCAGAGCATGCAGCTCGTTGGGCCACGTGACTTGTGTAGTTTTCGTGTCACATCAGCAGACCAGACTGATCAATGCAGGAAGCCTCGAGGCCTTTCCCAGAATTGTCTTCACCTTCTCCAAGAATACGGTGATGCATCTTGGTGCCAAGAGATTGAGGTGAATACACCAGTGCTTGAGAGCGATTATTGACTGTTCTATCCTGTTCTATTCCATAGACCGCACAATATCCTGGGTGTCACCAGCCACTCGTGCTGAAGGTTCTGGCCAGCAAGTTCCTATCTCTACCGGAAAACGGGAGATTTGCACTGCCTTGGCTTTGAAAGCAACGGTGCCGTGCCAGAGACAGTTTGGGACCTAGTTCCCTGCTTTTCGCTTGTGCCTGGAGAAAGTTTAGCTACGCTATTGTGTCATCTTTGTTTCGAAGCTAGACTTATATAAACTTTTAAAACCGGATAGGGCGGATAGGGAACGCGGGGCAGTCCAGGTCCTCGGTGCCACCTTCATGATCAACCAGATGGTAGTGTTCGACACACAGACGCTCGATTGCACCTCCCAGCCAGATTGGAAGCGGCAAGCCGCTGGCAGAAGATAGGCATAGACAAACGATCTAGGATATATTCTATTAATAACTTAATTTGAGGAAAGACAAAACAACGGCAGGGTGTGACCTGCACTTGCTCTGAGATCCTCGCGGCTCGGATTGGCTCACAGCCAATGCCCCAGCTTTACGCAGAGGCCAAAGCCGCCGCAAAGCGTGCGCTCAGGCGGACGGGGTGAATGACGAATATTTTGACATATATACTTCAGTACCAATCGCTTTCATGGCAGGCAACGGGCTGAACACTCCACATCAGAAAGGCAAACCCGAGACCTGCCCAAATTAAAGCACAGGTGCTTTTGTATTCGTGAAATGCCCCCTCCACCCCACAAATTGTACTTTAATGATCTTTAATATTTAAGCGTAAACTTCGAACCACGCAGCTAGTCAGTGTTTTCATAAATCACCCATCACAGAACAAGCACAGTTGGCATTTTGGTTGCGGCCATCCCAGGCAGTTGCAGAAACTCTGTTTGCAGCTTTTTCCCTCCTTTTCGTGATGCTTGGACTGTGCCTGGTTTCTTGGCAGAAGCTAGCAGTTCCAACGTTAGCGCAAAACTTACTTTGTGAAGGTTGCCCGAAATCTTCTTCGCGCCTATGGGCTAAGCCGCAGAGACATGGAGAAATCTGGATCACCACGACGGGTACGTGCGAGGAGACGCGCGAAGAGTACCATTCTAACCTCAAAGTATCCCGGTTCCTACCCTCACAAACAGTGTTCATCAGGAAGCTCGGTCGCTCCAGCCCTGTGGATGAAGAGATGCAGAGCCTGGCGGCTGATGATACGCCACCAAGATGCACCATTCTGCTGGCTTCTTCTGTGACTTCCACTCTGTTTCAGCCTGGCTGATTTTCAATGTTTTCAGGTCTGATGACAACGTCACCCGCGTGCCCTTGGAAGCCTGGCTGAGTGCCACGGGTGCTGAGAGTGATTCACCTACTGCGGGCTCTGGGCCGTGCTTGTCAGAGCAGGAGGGCCGATGACAAAACTTGCGCATCATGTGGGCGCTGCCAGGGTGAGCTGGTTCATCGTGATTGCGGGCCATTTGTGGCATTGTCGCTCAAGCTTTCGGCTTACAGGTGCCCCGCAGACAGCAGACATGATGCAGGTCTGGCACAGTTTGCCACTCAACATGTCAGGTCATCAACTCAAGGGTTCAAACAAGATAGAACATCGGAATTGGATAGCACCTGCTATACGGGGGCTCTTGCACAGGCCACAAACTTAGTCTTGCCACACGTATATAAAGAACTTAAGGCCGTGAAAACACAGAGCATGGCTTCCATAAAGTGAGACCCCAACAGGGTCCACTTCGGGACCAGTGACCAGTCCTATTGAAACATTGACGCCACTATGGGCTTACGCTTGGTTTGTCCACGTCGTTCTGATCAAGCAGAACACATCGAAGAGCTGAAGCGGCTGGAGCACCTTGCAGCTCAAAATCCTAAAATCCCACGTGAGCTGGGACGGTCAAGGTCGAGTTTTAAGCATTTGATGACGGTCAGGGGAATTGGGCGAGGCAATCATTGTGAGGCATACATTGAAGAATGTAGGTTTAGCCCGGTATCGCCGAGTTGCCCGCGCTTGTGGGGCAGGCTCAGCAAGTCCGTTGGCACTTGATTCAGCTGCACTCAGGAAGATGCCGCTGGATGATGAAAGTCGCCGAATCTTGCGCGATGCATGCGAGGGTCTTCCTGGGACGTTCCAAGATGGTGGCTTCATGGTGCAAGGCATCCGCCAGACCAAGCTTTAGCACGGTGAATTGAAGGTGAAGGAAATACATGGAATTCCTCACATCATAATGTTGTTGAAGGTGAATGAAGGTGAGAGTTTGCGTAAAGGTCATCGTCCAAGAAGATTTGCCCGGACTAGGCGCAACAGAATCGGCAGCCAAAGAAGCAGCTGGAGAGGCTGTGGACGTGAATGGGATTTTGATCCTGTAAAGACATTTCACTTGAAAAGGCTTGCTAACGATGCGCAGACAACTCATCCCAACTCTCCTTTCAATTTTGCCCAAAGGTTGCAGGAAGGTGAGAGCACCATACGAGGAAAACCTGCTCACTTTTGGCTGGTTTTGAGAGAGCGTTTCAAGAAGCGCCGATGAATGAGACAGTGTGGCCAGTTGAATGGCTTGCCGCAGCCTGCAGGTGGTCCTTTTCAACGCCGAGAAGGGCTATGGCCTCATTCGTGCAGATCAGCAAGAGGTTCGGGTCACACTGGGGTTCGGGGACATGTCTTTTGAGTACTGATTGGGACTGACCAGCTTGAAAACCCACACAACTCTGGTGCAGGGCGGGGACGATACAGAGGTGACCGAGGTGTTCTTTGCAGCCAGTGGCCTGGACACAGAGGTCCAGGTGGGTGACCGTGTCTGCTACTTCGAGGACTGGTGGTATCGAGGCCGTCCCCATCAAGCAATTTGAGTAAACTGCAGCTCTTTAAACCGGCCCTGAGGACCATCTCATGATTGAGGGGCAAACTTGCGCCTTTAATATCAAGAAGGCCGAGTGAAAAGATTGCCAAGAGCAGGGTGATGGCAGCGGGGAAGCGTGTCACATTCTTCCTCACCTAAGCCTATATCGGCTTCCACGCTTCCAGAGCTCTTGCTGCAAAGCGAAGATGGAACCCACATGCGAGTGCCAAAGCGCAGCGGCAAAAGGCGAAAAAAGACTGCTGAGTCCTTGTAGCTCGTGCACACCGTGGACAGTTTGGAGCAGCCTTTGGGCATGTTTGTAAACCTGGACGCAGGCATCGGGCAACCGGTTGCCTTGCGAGCCATTCACGCGAGACAAAATAGGAAGCGCCGGATGTGCCAATGGAAGCCAAGCACCGGGGGCAATTAGAGCAATGAGATCAAGAGCACCCTTGAACAATGCTTGACATATAATGACTTGACGTATGCCCGTTCAACGATTCCTGAGGCCCAAGATAATGACAGATCCTGCACGGCAGTAAAACCACAATGCCTTGACAAGAACGTTGTTTTGGTGAGTTTGGACGGGGTGAGATTCGTCTATGCAAACTTGGAGTTGATCCGGTTGTGCGGATGGGTGTTGCCACGTGCTGCCAAATCCATAACGAGCGGTGTGCATTCTCAGGCATATGCAACTGACATTTGACACAAGCAGGCATTTTCCTGGATTCCTTGAATTCCAACTTGACCACATTTGCGGGTGACGGAGGCACGCAGAGCCCATAAACTCACACCTCGCGTTTTCCTGCGATGCCGTTCTTGCTATGGCAGCTTTTCTTCGACCTGTCAGGGCCTTTCGCCAGACTGGTTTTGTTCCTTCACCTGCTTCGTATGGACCAATTGCCAAGGGGGTCCTTACACAGCGGGCACTTCAGTCCTGCCTCTTGGCAAAAACCTTCTGACCTTTCCTGCGAGACATGCTTTGTGTTGTTTGACGAAGATGCCCAGGGACAACTTTTTTGCCACGGCTACGTTCAAAGAGCAACGTCGCGCCTTGAGCGAGTGAGCGAGAGAGAGAGAGACAGACAGAGAGAGAGAGAGAGAGGAAGAGAGGAGAGGAGAGAGATGGCTCAAGTTTGGCTCAAGGGTCTAGGTGGCTCAAGCCGGTGGAGACAAGGAGAAGTACGTTGGCAGTGGCACTTCATCTTTGCGGTGACCTTCTTCTCTAGGTACCTCACTGGTGGCCTTGCCATTGCTAGTGATACGAGACTGTTGAGGACCTTGACCAGATCTTCACCATCGAGATGCAGAGTTGGGACGGCTTCAAAGCTGTACGGCCTCGAAGGGCATATCTTGTGTGCCGAGGCTGTGAAGGAAGCTGGATCTGGGCTGATCGTGTGAACGATCAGAGGTGGTGCTGTGATCATTGTGGACAGCAATGGCCTGCTGGCCAGCAGCAACGGGTGTCCCCCAGGCCTTTCAGACAGAGGACACGCCGAGAAAAGGCAAGGAAGATTGATGCACCGCCTGGGTTAGGGCCCAAAGACAAGCAAGTGAAACACCCGGTTGATGACATGCTCAAGAAAAACTGGGCAAGCCTCTCGGATGATGTCAAGAAGGCGCTGCAGACAGTTGGGATTGACTACACCCCACCACCAGAATTGCAGCCCTTAGAAGAGCTCCCCAAAGCGCATTTAGAAGACCTTCCCAAAGAAGTCAAAGATGCAGTGACGAACCAGGTGACCCCAGTGAAGCAAGAGCCGAAGGATGTCACCTCACAGCTCAAGGTGACGGTTGGAGAACTCCGTCAGCTGTCAAACAAGAAGGCTGGGCTTCAGAGGAAGGTGGACTATGCCAAGGAGCAGTACCGGACCCTTCTGGATGAACTGAAGGTAGTGCAAGAGCTGATTGACAAAGAGCAGCAACAGCTGAGTGCACAGTCTGAGGCCTATGCCAAGATCCTGAAGGAGGAGACTAAGGAAGCACCTGGCCCGGTAAAAGTTGTTGATGAGGATGTGAATGATCACGTCTTGAAGGCTTTAGCCCAGGTTGGCATTCTGTACACAGAGACTCAGAAGTCAGATCTTGAGCGGCAGCTGGCTGAAAGCATGCTCAAACGCCGCAAGAAGACTGAGGCCCCACCGTCGGGGTAACCCCCTCGATTGGCCTTTGAAGGACGCCTGGATGATCGAAAAGAACAAGCTTGCTGAGCATTTTGATTGGGAGTCAATGCATTCAAGAAGCTTGGGCAGAGCAGCAAAGCAACAGTGGGGTTTCCAAGCACACGACCAGCAGTGTTTGAGTGTTTGGGTTTCGTGGGACAACATGTGCCCTTGCAGGGGAGCAAGCCATGTTTGTGAATTTGATAGATGGAGTCAAGTGGCTGGCATTGAGATGTGCGATTGTGCTGTTTCTCAAGGCTGGCAGCCGTACGTTGCATGTGGATCATCTTGGGACAATCCTTATCCAAGTGATCAGGATACACCTCGTCATGTCATCACTTTGGGGGTGGACTCTCTCCTCTCTAGTACATGTGAGCCGGGGCGCAACATGTCGGTGGCTGGAGGGAAGGGAGATGATGGTGATAACTTTCTACATGACACGCAGGTGAACGTGGTTGCAGGTGACACAGATAGACAAGGTGATGATGCACCAGGGTGCGCTGGTGATGATGCATCACACTGGGACAGGACAGTTGCACCAACCGGGGCACTGCCATTGCGGAGCACGGAGCGGCTGGGCTTGCCCAGACCTGCTAAATGCGGGACCCTGGAAGGTGTCAACACATGTCCTGAAGCAGAACAGAGCGACCTTGGCCAGCAGGCCCCGGTGTTGCTTGGTGGAGGAAAAAGAGGAAGAATGGAAGACATCTGGAGAGACGAACCAGGTGTGGAGAGGTATACTAGCCCAGGGAGGCTGCAAAACCGATTGCAAGTGTTACAGGAGAAAGCCAGGGCAGCGATAGATGCCCTGCCGATAGAGTGTCGAGAAGATGTTGAATTTGGTATGGTTGAAACTCGTGTGTGGGGCCTGGAGGCTCTTAAACATGTGTTGAAGATGAGACTGGCGCTGCAGAGCACTTTGCATCTGTGCAGGCCAGTCAAGGAGGTTCCTGAGATGCCTCCCATGGCTGAGCTCCTGGCTGCCAACCTCACGCTCAACCTCCAGAATAATGGCAATAGATGTTTTGCCAATGCGGTGCTGCGCATGTGGTGCTGGCAAGGGGCCCATCATCCCAATCCAGCTGAATTTTGGGGCCCATCGACCAAGTTGTGCATGCAACTCCTCCAACAGGATGACATCCCGGATGTCTTCTGGGCCTCGGAGCTGCAACCAGCTATTGCTAGGCTGGAAAATCCTCAGAGTCAGCATGATGCCTCAGAGTTTCTCATCCTGCTGTGGGAGATGTGGGGACAGACAGGCCTGCAAGGTAACTGGCATTCTCACTTTGGAGGCCGCTGGCATGAATATGACACGATTCCTTTGTACATCAGGATGCCAGTTGAAATGGGCGACGAAGTCCACTTTGAGCACCTGCTGCAGGAATGGGCCAGAGAAGGCAATTGACAGTGCCTTGGAGTTGATGTTGAACACATTGTCTTCCATGTGGGCAGGTACTCACTGTGTACGCAGACTCGTACTTGGGTGAAGCACCACCATATTCTGCATACACCGTCCACCTTCAGTTGCCCTCAGCGAATGGAGTCTGGACACACAGGACAGTCCACTTTTGTCCTGCGTGGCATCATTGCACATCAGGGGCCACAGATGATTAGTGGGCACTATGTCACGCTGCTGGTGGAAGGTGAAGCCTGTTGGATTGCAGATGATGGCCAGTGCCCTGAAGTGTGCAAGGAGATTCCTGAGAAATTCAAACGGGAGGCAGTGATGATCTGGGCTTCTAGGGCAGAACAATCCAATTTCTGGTCCACGACCATTGGCAATTTTGAGCCACCGTTGAAGAAAGCAAGGCATCCCAACCAGGAGATTGAAATCCTATATGCCAACATCACCCAGTGGACCAAGGAATCCAAGGAGTGGCTGATTCAACAACCTCACTCCGTTGTCATGATGGTTGAGACCCATTTGAATCATAGCAAAATGGATGGGGCCCACAATGAGCTGTGCCGTCATATATGGCAGCCTACTTTCCTGGCGGCCCATGACACGGGCAGGGGTGGCAACAGTGGTGGTCAGCTTTTTGGCCTGCGAGAAGGGCAATCAGGATACCTCTTGCATAGTTATGACCTCGATGGCAATGGTTTCCTGGCCAATGTTCTGCAGAGACAACAGTGGGAGCTTGCCCTTATCTCTGTCTATTTGAAGACAGGCGAAGACCTCAACTCCAAGGCAAATTCCACTGTCCTGGGCGAGCTTGCAGCTTTTGTACAACAGCTGGCCATCCCATGGATAGTTGTGGGAGATTTCCAAGTGCCGCCTGAGCAATGGATGGGTCACAATCTGCTCAATGTTTTGAAGGCAGAGGTGGTGTGTTGTGGCCAACCGACCTTGATCAATGGAGCAGAGTTGGACTATCTGCTGGCCTGCCGAACAGTGGCTCCTTTCCTGGACCTCAAGGTGACATGGGATGTTCCCTGGAAACCACATGCGGGCCTCATCATCACAGTTGACCAAGATGCACCCCGACTGGTCTTCCCACAGTTGACACAGTACCCATCCGTGCCCAAATTGGAGGAGCAGGGCAAAGAGTGGTCAGATTTCTCTCCCTCTCCCAAACCATTCTGGTTGGGGCGGCCAATTGGGCCAAAAGAGATTCAATATGCTGAGTGGTGTCATCAAGCTGAGCAGTATGTCCTCCAGCGGCTTCATGAACCACGGCAGGGTCGGGGGTGGTACCTGGCCTTGGAGCAAAAGCCGCTCCCAGTGTCAAAGCCTTTGGCACCTTGGAAAAAAGGTGATCTAGCGTACTGGGGCCAATTCACATCCCTGCTCCATCATGTGGCCAGCAAGCCTTGCATGTCTGCGGGCTCGATGGATCATCTCAGGGCAAAGACGGCTGATCTGCATGTGCGCTGGCAAAATGTCCATGGTTTGGAAGATTTCCAAGGAGGCCTTGAGTCATTGATTGCTGGGGACA